TCGACACATCCGCCGGATTTAGAGAGCTTCACCACCGTGATGCGCTCGTCCGAGGCCACGGCCGATGCGCCAGACGTCGGCTTGTTATCGTAGTTCTTCATCATGAGACTGTATAGCCGTTCCGAGCCAATGACAAGGATAGTAGTAACTGTCATCCGTCAGTGCATGCACACCTTACACAATAAGTGAACCAAGCCAAGAACATACTCGAAACTCCGTTACGATGTGGTTGATCATTTCAAGACTTCCAGGTTTACCCTGACTTAAAGCCCCCGGCGTATCCACAATGATACCGGTTTCCCTAGCCTCCTCATCCTCTGCCATGCGTCCCATCACCGACAGCGCCAACCGCGACACAATAGGCCGGTAAACAGACCCCTCTGCCTCCAGCGGATTCTGCATCGGGTAAAAGTAGACCAAAGGTAGCTTCACAGGCACAGCACTGGGCCCAGACATCGGACTGCTCCCCCATCCCTCCTCCACATCCATCATAGTGCGGAACGCCGTAGCCGTCAACGTCCCGGGTACACTAAGCATACCCTCGTTTGGATCCAAGTTGACAACGATAGGCTGCCTCTCTACCTTCGTAGCATACGCCGTCAGGATCTTCGCGACACTAGTCTTTCCCGCATTTTCCGGACCGAGAATCAGCACGCGCGGACCGTCCTTCCCTGTCGCTTTCGCCTCCTGACGCATAGTCTCTAGCGCAAAATGCACATTGGCGTATTCAACCATCGGGGTCTCCTCCGCCGTGTATTCGCTTTGACAACCTCCAGCGCCGAGCCCGCGAGGTGTCGCGCCGCCCAGTCCACCCGGTGCCAATCCGTCGACCGATGGCCCTGTATCCCCCGCGCTCACTTCCAGTGTGCAGCCATGCCAGGTGTATATTGCGCCTTTCGTCCCCGAGAAGGTGTATGTTTGAGACGGAGCTAGTTCGGTGCCAAAGAGTTCTGCGGTGCCGGCGAGGAGCTATAGTTACCCCTCCAATTATTGGGAAGGACAAGTCAGTCGCGCTATAACTTTCATGCAACGGTCGCAACTGGATCTGTGGTTGAGCTACTCACCTTGACTCGAATAACTGTGCCGAAAGCAACCTCAAATCTCCACTCGGAGCCCTTCGACAGGCTGATTTGGCTCGGCGGTGCGGGCGCAAATTGGTTGTCCGCCGTCGGCTGTGTAAGGTCTAGACCGGGGAGAGACATGGCATTGCTAGGATCGACTGATCCTATCTTCTAAAATGAAACGAGAAAAAAGAAACGTGCGCTACTTCCTAACAAACCACGTCAAGATGTTCGGGGAGCTTGAAGATCATTATCAAAGCTAACGGCGGAGGTGACGGTGTTTATCATGTTTGCAGCGGAAAGGTTCCAGACTAGCCTTAACTGCAACGTCTGGTATAGAATGCCCTACTTTGGAGTAAACCCTACCTCTACAGAGTTACAGAGAACAGCCTGCATAGAACACCATGGCTACATCATCTCATTTTTTATTGCATTTGCATTTCACATCCTGTGCTACCGAACCATAAGAGACCATCCCGAGTGCCCATCAAAAACCATCCGATCAATAGAGGCAGCGAAAAGAAACAAAGGATTATAGTTAGTATATCAGGTATCCAGGAAAAATAGGAGAATGCGCATGTAGAGAGTGTTTTGATCTCCAGGACCACCGGGCGAAATCAAAAAGCCGATCGATGACCACCATTTCCGAGAAAAGGGCTCTCCTTCTTGCAACCAAAGCGCAAAAATTAGAAAGGGTTAAGGTGTAAATACGATACATCAGGAAGCTCTGTGAGGGTAAAACCACAATACAGCTAGAAGAGGGGTTGCAGGAGAGGGTATACAGGTCGAGAGAACTAGATCCCTTTCCTGGGGAAAGGAGGGAACAATCTAGAACCGAAGGTGAATGGGGACGAGGTTCGGGAAAGGAAGTGTTCATCGATGGAAAACGCGACGGTCACTCGGGACAATTGTTCCATAGGAAGGCGCCCAATACAGTTGGTAATAGAACCTCTAAAAGAAATAAGGAATGGAAGCCCTGGTGATGTGTTAGATCAGGAATAAACAGCAAGGGAAGTCGGCCAACTTACGCAAGTGCAAAAGCAGCAGTGACGCCGACAAGAGCGCGGTTCCTAACACGTTCACGCTTCAACTTCTCTTCCAAAACCTTTGCCCTCTTAGTCCGCATGGCCTTTGTTTCTTCGTCCTCCTCGTCGTCACTGAGCGCTTCTTCGATGTTGCGCTTCTTAGCAGCCTTTGATGACGATGGCACGGGCTCCTCCTCTGTGCTCTGAACCTTGGCAGCCTCATCTACCATTTTCTTAGCCTCGGCGATCATTTGTTCGGTATCTTCCGCAGATGGAGCATCAGGAAGGAGAGAAACAGGTAATTCCACCGCGACGGTGGTCTGGGTCGTTTGCACATCTTGGGCTTCGTCGGCATTGGTTTCAACCTCCACTTTGACATTCTCCTCCTTGGTCTCCTCAACCTCCTCGACCTCTTTGAGCTCCTTAAGCTCCTTGAGCTCCTTCGCCCGAGTAGCTCTGGGTGTCTTCGTGGCCTTTGGTGTTGAAGCAGACTTCTTAGGAGTAGGGGCCACCCTCTCTTCATCGTGTTCCACACTGGGTTGAATGGTGCCATTGACCGATCCGGACTCGGCCGTAGCATCCAAAGCAGACTGGAGGTTTGCATTTGCCTCACTGGTTGCCTCCTTCACCTCCTTGACGTCCCTAGCCCTTGTGCTTCTAGCCTTGCGCGGGGAAGCAAGCTTTTGTGGGGAAGGGAGTTTTTTGCTGGGGGAAGCAGACCGGCCTCTTCGCAGGCGCGGCGCCGCAGTAAGCTGGGCTGGAGCTTCAATCGGGGGCAGATCAAATCGAGGAGGTGGGGTGATCTGCATGTGCTTCTTCGTACTGGATGGGGTCTGGACAATCTCGGTGGGATCAAGCAATGCTCGCACCCAATCATACATCTGATACTCCTTTGCTAACTCGAGAGCTGCCGAGCCGTTAGATATGTCTGCGAGTAGCACCAATTGAACGGGCCTACCTAGTATTGGCGAGATCCAAACATTTCCAGCGATTTCATCCTCGCTGGTTTCCTTACGAGCCTTCACATATTCACGCTCAGACCGCTCCTCCTCCAATTTTGCCCAGGGGAAGGCAATCTTAAACATTCCAGTAGCGCTAACATATCCATCTTTGCTGCGTCGCTGTGGTGTTGACAAAGAGTCGCGCGTTAATTCTCGGTTCTACACAATGCCACTGGCTCCGATAGGTGGGTACAGAAAGGCGACTCACCATCAAAAAGTACGTCTCTGGTTGTTGCTGGGTGTTATGTGAAGGAAATATTTCAGAGCCTTTAAGGTCCCTGGGCAGTTTCACGCGCAAATGCGCATATTCGAAGGGTCCAAGGTTCTCCGGCTTTGTCGCATTCGACGTGCCGATCACTGTAGGTCTCACCGTGAGATTTGTTTTTCCCAAACGTCGGCACCGCAAGAGTTCCTCGTCTACGGTCGCAATGAGATGTATCTGTCAGCCATGCGCAAACTTTGAAGCCGAAGCACGCTGAGAGGTGAGCGAGCCATGGGATCGCGCGACAAAACGATGTCGGAACTTACAGGTGGGAGTCTCAGATGGGAGGATGTGGGGATTGTTCTTCTTTGGCAGTAAGCGCGCCATGATGAATGGTCAGGTTGGTCAAATATTAAACTAGAGCTGAGAGTTGAATGTTGTGGCAGCAGTTTCCGAGGTGATGTGAAGCAGGATGCGACGCCAGAACGTCGGCCACGTTGCAGGCGCGTCTCTCGCCGCTTTGCTCAAGGGTTCGGTGATAATACGTCACCACGGAGAATGCACTGATGATAATATCACGATCGACTTGGCGGACGATTTAACCTGTGGGACACAGACGATAGACCCGCGACAAGCCAGGTGATAACTGACTCAAGATCAATACGAGAATCGATAAGTAGGGGAGGAAAATAATAAATGAAGGTGGAAGCCGGGCGGGCGATTGCTCAGGTCTATACGCCCGACATACCGTATCAGTTCGTACTCAGTAATGGACTCATGTTGACCAGAGTATCCTCCACCAATGGCTGTGCGTGTAGGTCATGTGACATTCCTTGAACAGTAGGGATCGGCGGCTACCGGCTGATCCCCGGTATCTGATGAGACCAATATTGGGTATGCCACCCGTATTAGTGCCTTAGGGCCTGATCAAGTTGGGTGGGAGATCCCGTTGCCCCGTGACGGGAAATACGTTGAGGAATTGTTTCGTCACAGTTGATTGATCTCTTGGACCGTCTTCTGGTGCATGTTCTGCAGCAGTTCCATTGATACTTTTCTTTGGTTGTCTTTCACTTCATTCTCATTCAAGGCTCAGCCACATATCCATACCGTGTTTGTTTACCTACATACAAAGAGTGGAAAGGGGTCAAGCAGAGAGAAGTCACTGTTGCTTTATGGAGTATATCTTGACATCACCACTGGAGTTTACCGATACTCAAGATGTATTTACAGCACCGAATGGAATTCACTTTGAGATAGTTGTTGTTGTCACCACAAAGCCATTGATTGACCTTGCAAAAGCGCAAGACAAAACATAAATCTCCGTGCTGGGACCAGGAGAAGCGAGGATATCATTCTGGATCAATGTCTTAAAAAGGGTTGTCGTTCTGGGCCTCCCCTGAAACTTGTCCACCGCCTTTCTTTGCACCCCACTGTGTGGGCTGAGAGCCAACGAATCCCCCACCGATGCTTGACTACGACAAAACAAAACCGCCCCTCTTAGTCTTCATTGTTGCTGTTCTTTTTGCTACTCCCACCTAAATCCTTGTAGGGTCAAATAGACTTAATTTTGTTTGTGGATTCCCGTTGACGCTGCGTATATCTCCCCTTTCTCCTCCCCGGATCTACTTACTCTCTCTGTCCTCAGTCATTCCAACTCCCTCACGCTACACTACCATATATACTAATACCCCACCAAGCCCCTACCGACACAATGTCCGAGCAGGATGATCTCGTTGCCTCCAAGACCGAGGGTTTCAAGGTCGGAGAGAAGAAGTCAATCAATGAGTACACTGAGCTTGGTATGTGGATCGCTCCGTCCATATTTGAATCTCGAATTTCATTATGCACCACCCTGTCTCGTGGCATCGCCCCTTGCCGTTATGCAAGAACGGGAGCTATGGGTCTCCAAACCTCCATTCCAGCTGCCACCCGAGCTAGTTCTGGCCGTTTAATCCCCTTCCACCATGTTGTACGCCTGTGCTAAACTTTGATCCTCATCAGATAAGAATGACGAATCCCTAAACCGCTGGAAGGCCTCCCTAGGTCTTGCAACCGGTGCACCAATTGGAGACCCCAACGATCCCCGAAAGTGCATTATCAAGTCTCTCGCCCTGGAGGTTGAGGGACGGTCCGATGTGGTCATTGACGTGTCCGCGCCCGGTGCAGTTGATACTCTCAAGGACAAGCCATTCACCATCAAGGAGGGTGCCCACTTCCGGATCAAGGTCGTCTTCCAGGTGCACCATGAGGTCCTGAGCGGTCTGAAGTACCTGCAGGTCGTTAAGAGGAAGGGTATTCGAGTTAGCAAGGACGAAGAGATGCTGGGCAGCTATGCCCCCAACACCACCGACAAGCCCGTCTACGAGAAGAAGTGTAAGTGTGCTCTGCCTCTGGTACATCTGCGGCCGTCATCTGGGTGCTAACTCCCTCTTTTCCTTTATAGTCCACGCGGAAGAGGCCCCCTCCGGAATGATCGCCCGGGGCCATTACAACGCGGTTTCGAAATTCGTGGATGACGACGACCACACCCACCTGCAGTTCGAGTGGTCGTTTGATATCGCGAAGGATTGGTAGATTTGACGGTTCCCGGATGAACTACGACTCTGTCATGACCAGCATTCTTTGAAATTTGCAAGCGTTGTACGGAACTGCGTTCTTGGAATTTTTGACCTTCTCTCAGAGCTACACCCCCATGAGACACTCTTGGGTTGTCATATATAGGTCCTAATAATTGGATCCCGTTTCTCGAAGTGTTCCAGACATACAAATACCACATAGATATATATAGTCATGTGTGTTCATTTGCTGGTAGTCTTCACCGCTATCTGAACGCAATGCTGTCTATAAAATGCTGTGCCCATCATCTACCAAACTCCAAACAAAAAAGATTGCATTGAATAAATGGGACATGGAAGGAAACAAATGTAAAAAAAAAAGGGTATCACAAAAAGTAGTCAATCACCGGGTTCTGTCCGTCCTTATTCTGCTGCGCTTGCTGCTCGTTACGATGGGCATCGTTCTCTGGAGCCGCGTCAAAGATGTTGAAAAATCTCTCGCCGGTATCGCTAACTTCGAGGACGCTCGCAAGATTACCACACCGATAGCAGTAGTTCGGTGCACTCCATACGGTGCTCAGCCGGTCATCGTAGAGAACCTGATACCCCTCCTGACACAGCTGGTGCGCCCGCAGAATATGAGACATGCTATTGACTTCCAGGAATTTCCGGACCACCTGCGCACCGAATGTATACCCGGCTCCCCTTGGCGAAAGGGAAAACTCATCGCGCTCAGTATCCGGATCGGACCAGACCAGATCGGCCATGGGGCCTTCATGAGGGATCTCACGAAACCGGTCAATGATTTTAATCTGGTCTATAGAATGGATGGAGGGGGATAGGCCGCCGTGCACGCAGAAGATTTGATCGTTAATAACCACGCTCAGGGTGAGGAAGTCGAACATATCAGTGAAGTAGTGCCAGACGTTGGGGTTGCCGTATTTCCGCACGCACTCGGTGTAGAATCCGTAGGACTGCGTGACACCGCGAGACTCGTGGTTTCCTCGAATAAGATGCACGCGATGAGGGTATCGTAACTTCAAGCAGACAAGAAGGGAGATTGTCTCCACACTGAATAAACCACGATCTACGTAATCGCCTGTAGTGCAAAAAGGTTTGAGGTATTAGCTGAACGGGTCCGATCCAATACCGAATTTGTGTCGTCCCTGAACTGACCTAGAAATAGATAATTTGTGTTCGGGCAGAAGCCTCCGATCTTGAATATTTCAAGCATATCAAAGAATTGCCCGTGAATATCTCCCACTACCGTTACCGGTGCCGCAATATGGACCACATTGCTCTCTTTCATCAACAGTTCTTTAGCTTTGGCGCATATTGCCTCAATCACAGAGTCTGCCAGCAACTCCTTTCGATAGAGCCTCTCTATGCACTCGTCTAGGTCGATACTCGCTGCAACATGATAAAGTTAGTTTAGAAGACACGCAAACAAAGGAAACTGTGGGATTCTTAACTTACCCGGTAGGCCAGGCATTTTGTTAGGATTATTCTAATTGATGATTGGAAACACTTCTATGCTGGTATAATAGAACGGTGATAAAACGAATGGGTCAAGTTTCGAGGTATTCTGAGCGCGAGAGGTCACTGAGCGCGTCGGGATATGGAAATGAATAGTGCGCAGGTCGTCTCGAGGAAGGATAGTATGTCTGTGTGAGAAGTTGTTGCAGTGGTTCGCATCATGACCAACAGATGTAGCGGACGTATGTGAACGGTGCCAACGGAGCCCGTGTAGCTCAAGGGCTAAATGATGGCAAGAAGAATGTTCAGGCAGGGTTCGGGTCTTGACATAAAATCTCGAATGATTTTTCTTAGAAATCAATCCATCATGGGCAGAGGATCTGGACACATCGATAACCCGCGGTCATCACAATAGCGGTGCCACTGGCACGCGGCGGATCCAATTAATTCGAATTGTGCCGTACCACACCGCCTGTTTTCTGAAGTGGACCCTAAAATGGATAAGTGAGCACGTGGGGTCGCTCGCCTCAACATGATATACGGAGCACTTGCGGAGTAGTTAATAGTATCGAATAACCTCATATCTGCGGAGGCTACTAGGTATGTTAGGGCTTTCCCTTTCTGGGAATGGGTCTAGACCCTCGCCGCCTTTTGCTCCCTTGCGAAGTATACAACCCCTATTATTCTCACTAAGGGCGTTACCCTGGACTGAGACCTGCGCTTCCAGCTCGTGGCGCTAACCATGCATAACGAGCAAGTCCGCCTGGTACTTATCTGCTTGAGGCATTGTCCTCAAATGGGTATATAGTGCTGGATATATAGTGCTGGCCGCTTGTTGTGTACTTGACTCAGATATCCCTCGTATCCCGCATATGTATCCCAGCAAGCGCAGCATTTTCCGCATTGTATATATACAATTTGTGTCAATACTATATGGCCACAACCTGTTTATCAGATATACTTAGTAGCCTTCTAAACTTCGCGAGCATTCTACAATTTTGAAGATTCTTTATACAGAATTTCGCAATCGTCCTTTCACGCCCCGAGTAATCACTTTTTCAAGAAAGTCAAGGCAGCAAGGCACAACGCATCAACTCCAACTCTCATCGTTGGCTGGATAACAGGTGCGAAAAGCGCCGAGTGATTCCCCGGGATCTCTTCTGTGCGAGAATCCGCCTGTGCCTGATCCCAAAGTTCAGGGTCAATGCCTCCCAGAAGCCAAAAACAGCTAGGGATCCCTCGGCAGGTTGCCAACGTAGAGAAATCCTCGCTAACATTGGTTCGCGGTACATCGTCATCGAAGTCCTCAAAGTGAGTCGCGAATGTCGCGGCAACGTGAGATGCAGCATCTTTGTCGTTAACGGTAGGTGGGAAGCGTCTCGTCGGGGTGAACACAGGGGACTTGGGCGAGCCACTCGCCGCGCACTCGGCCTCGACAATACGCTTAATTGCAGAGATGATTTGTTCCCGGATCTCCAATTTAACAGATCGAAAGTCAACGCCGATCTCGGCTCTGTCGGTAATGATGTTCTCTGTCTGCCCGGCCTGGAGACTTCCGACGGTCAAGACAGCGAGGTCGCTTGGGTTGATCTCTCTGCTCACGATACTCTGTAGTCGAATAACAATGTGTGCAGCAAGAAGCACTGGATCCACCGTCTGGTGAGGCTGAGATCCATGACCACCACGCCCAAAGACGGTGATCTTCATGCTGTCGGCAGCAGCCATGATGGCTCCAGGGCGAGAGCCAACACTTCCAGCCCGCATTCTCATGACGTGCTGACCAAGGACGTAATCAGGGACTGGAATCTTGGAATAAAGCCCATCGTCAACCATCGCCTGCGCGCCTCCACCTCGCTCTTCGTCTGGTTGGAACAGCACAATTAAAGTCCCGCTCCACGCGTCCCGCATCTTTACAAGCGTCTCTGCTGCTGCTAGGAGACACGTAATATGCATGTCATGGCCGCAAGCATGCATCACTGGCTTCTCATTCCCTTCCGTATCGCGCATGGTGGAGTAGCTTGCATAGGGGAGCCCGGTCATCTCTTTGACTGGAAGAGCGTCCATGTCCGCTCTCAGGAGCACAGTCTTGCCTTCGCCATTTCGAAATACTCCCGCTAGGCCGTACCCTCCGATGTTGGTATGAAGCTCATAGACTTCCAGCTGGGCCAGATGTGCCGCGAGTTTTTTCGATGTAGATTCCTCTTGCCGAGAGAGTTCGGGATGCGCATGGAAATACTTGTAAAGATCCTCGTAGGGAGCCAAGTCCAATGACGCTGCCGTCAGAATTTCTGACAAGCTTGACCGTGCCATCTTGTGGAATGGCAACACGTGGTAGACGTGGAAGGATATATGCCGTGCAAGGGAGGTGGGGTAGCAGTGTATGGGGTTCCTTATATAGTGCTCTACTAGTGAACGATTCGGGGCGCACACAACCCCGCAAGCTTAACGGACAGGCTGGCCCAGCAGTCATGTACCTTTTATGTAGGAAACTCCTATAAAAGGCACATGGATTTAATATGATAATTGGACAATCAGTAAGCACTGAGGCTGTTTGTTGTATATAAGATATCAGTCTATCTAATTCTAGGCGTAATTTAGGATATCATGATAGATTGTTATCTTTGAAATTATATATTCATTCTATATATCTATATCTTTGAGCTAGTGGCATTATCCAAAGTAAGGCTAAGATACATACACATGTCGTTAGGGATCCCCATATAAACCAAAGCTGGCTGCTGTGATAATCTTTCTTAAGGTAGAGGCCTGCGATAGGAAATCTGGTCAGTAGGTGCCATAATCATCTGGTAAACAATGCTCTAAATTGGTGTCATGACTGTAGAGATTCATTGCACTATTGTAACGGCGGGTCCTATATAAGTCAGTCCCAGGGCTTCGGGATCGTTGATCCCGAATTATTCTGACCTTTTGGCCTTGTGGAAGAGGGTGCCCTGGCTCTATCTCTTACAACTATTTACAAGTACTTGATTGAATTCGCGTAGGTGTCATTCTCTTCTAACTATTGATGTGTTTTTCAAATGTTTAGCAAGCTTGAGCGAAAAGTCTATGACATTGAGTTTATAAGTTGTTCTCTATATATGTTTCTATCCCAAGGTTCATGCAGTTCCAAATGTCCCCAAATCATCAAAGTGCATCTTTCGAGGATCCTTGAACATGCGTATCTCTTTGGGCTAGGAGTTGCCTTGCTTCTTCACCGTCATCCGAATCTGTCTCTTCTTCGGTCTCTTCCTCCTCTTCCTCCTCCTCCTCCTCCTCCTCATCTTCTTCCTCCTCGTCAGTCTCCTCTTCAGTCTCCTCCTCAGAGTCTGTAACCTCTTCCCCTGACTCTGTTTCTTCTTCGGATTCATCGTCCTCTAACCATTGATCGAGAGTCTTAGTCTTCGTCGCCGATGCCGCTGCTGGCATGCGCCCGTTCGGCTGTCTACTTGCAGCTGAGACAGTGTTCTGATGCTCACGTAGCGCTCTATCAAGGCGTTCACCTGCAGTCGCAGGTGCTTTCTCTGTAAGCTCAGATTTGACATCTGGCTCCCGAAGGCTGGGATCAGGTTCTTTTCCTAACTCAACCCAGTCAGGGAGGTTTTCATAACCTGTGAGACCATGAGGACCCGCGTCCGGGCCAACAATCAAGGTAGACGAGCCGATCAAAAGATCCTTTCTTGTCTCGGATGGGCTAGGGGCATGGGGCACTGGTTTCGGTGCGAGAAGCAGCAAGTTCGCAAGCTGCGTCGAGGAAGGCGAAGAAAGAAGATTTTTGTATAGTCGAGCACGGTCACGCAGATCATATGAACTGTCATATCTAGCAAGGAGGAGGAGGTATCTCCAAAGGAGAGTAATTCTATCTTCCTCTGGTTCAGATTTCTGTTCATCGTGGTTGTTTTCTTCGTTTTTCTCCTCCTCCTGATCGTCGGTCCACTCATTCTTATACTGCTGCTCGACCTTGGGGCTTGCCGGAGGTTCCTCCTTGGGAGGGTTCCTTAGAAGGTGGTGTAGATACACCTTAGCCCCTAAGAGAACAATCTGTTGTTTCACGGCTTCTGCCTCATTGGCGAAGTCCTGTACCAGGATTCGCAGAACATCTGGCGCAAAATTCCTCTCCGGGTCTATACCCGCATATTCTCCGACTAGCCATACAATAGTCGCTCTAGCATCCGGGTTATTCGTCAATCCGAGGTGTTTCACCAACTCAATGACCGTTTGTTCATGCGAAGCTGGATCTTGCTGTATTAGATGTCTAATCACAGTCAAGGATTCCGATACTAGATTGTCATCCAGGCTAATAATTTGGTTGAGCAGTAGGCGAAGACAATGACCAGCCGTGCTAGGGTCACTTTGCGCACAGCGTCCGATTGCGCGAACGCTCTCACGCACCAGCTCGGGATCCGTTCCCTGGGAGAAATGTTCGAGCTCGCTAAGAATCACTCCCTTCAAGTGTAGACCACAATGAGGGAAAAGAATCGTTAGAATCTCGAGCTTTAGACGCCAGATATGAGGCGGATCTGAAGCACGGACGAGGAAGTGAGAGACATATTTTCTGAATGGCGCGGGATGACGCAAGCAAACAGCGACAATGTTATATAGCACAATATGCTGCACGTCCTGAGGGCTTCGGAGTAGAGCGACCAAAGGGCCAACAACTGCAGCAAGGTATTCTGGTGGAGCGAGATACAGGAAACAGCGAACGATATTCACAATGACTGCGGAATTGCGATTCTGTAAAAGTAGCCTGCAGGAGCGCAGCAAAAGCTCAAGATCAGGATCTACTATGGGGACTTCGTATTCCCTGCCACCCTCGTCATCTCCCTCTTCATCATCGTAGAAGCCCTTCGATACCGCTTGCTTAACTTTCTCGGTTCTAGGGGGGAAACATTTTCGGGCATAGATAGTTAAAAGGCGTAATGTTGCGATCTGGCCCCATTCATCCATATCGACAAGCTTCTTGACCAAACCGCGGTAGTGCTTGTGGATAAGATCGATTCTATCGGGACAAACTTCTAAGAAAGCGGAGACAGCCGGCCCAGCGACGAAATACTGGGTATCACCTAGCAGCGTAGAGAGGTAGCCTATTAACTGCGGCAGGGTGTTCGGGTCCAGGCGATAGCACTTGGGAATGGCCAATGCAGCTGCTTTGCGGACATGGGGCTCATATCGCCGCAACCACGCTTAATTGCAAGGGAAACGATCTGGCTGATCACTGGCACTCTTATGCCGGACATTGTGCGGAGTGCCATGGCCCGCACCTGGGGGCTTTGATCCGTAAGCGATTTCTGAATCGTGTTGATGGACAAGAGCGCAAGGTCGGGCTCGGCCTCGGCGTGGTGAACCAGGTAGATGTAAACAAGCTTCTTGACCTCGATATTCGCGTTTGCGACATTCTTGACAACTGCCGAGAAGAAAGGAAGGGAGGGCTCGGAGCGATACATCAACTAATTAACAGAAGTAAGGTAATGTCAGCTAAAAGTATTAATTCAGTCAATTCGGAGCTCTTCCGTACCGTGATCACCCTGCGCATGCCATCCAGGACTTCCCGATCATGACGACTGTCGAGTAGCTTTTTGATATGTGCGGTGGTCACATTTTGGGATGTAAGGCCTGTACTGGAGCCTCTGGTCATTGCTGCGGACTGAGCTGCTTCAAGAGTGAGCTCTCGAGCTACAAACAGTCAGCTACTCAATTCGGCGGGATCTACCATGAGAGGACGACAGCGGTTCTATTACCTGTTTCCAGCATCGACGATATCCGGGAGATAGTCTCCATCTTGACCCCAAAGCCCTCTTTGGGGCAGACACTGAATCTCCGGTTTTGAGGGGGTGTAATGTCCCTGGGGAAGTGATGTGGGTAGAAAGAGTTGAGAGTTTGCGGCGGAGAGTGGGCAGGTGACGATAACACCTAATAAATGGAACTAATTAGATGAACTGCTGCCCGTCTCCCCGCAACTCTCCAATTCAACTTGCCGGCATCGCGCGCCGTATCATTGAATATTAGTATTAAACAATGTCCTTGCTTGAGGTGTCCGAATGAAATCGTTTGTGTCATTTAACTATGACGACATCTTTCATTCCATCAGCTTCGTTTATTAGCCTTTCATACGGACAAGCATGACCACGAGCACACCAGCCCGCCAAATATATATTGGCACCTGGGTGACAGACTTGGTACAATATATTCTCGATCATGACACCAGCAGAACAGTTTTAATCGTCTGTTCAACTCGAGATGCCTTTCTCAAGCAGTTGCTCGCCATCACGCGCGCTCATTCAAGCGAAACTGCGGAGAGCCACCCAATCCTTACAAAAACCATTGGACTACTCTCAGATTCAAGCAGAATCAAGCTCGTCTACTGCCCGACATTAGAGAATCTTCGAGCTTATCTCGCTGTGCTACCTTCATCTGGTGATCTCATGCAAGGGCCTGTCGCCGAAAAACAAAAGACACAGAAGCCTTTAATGGCCATTCTTGACCTAGTAGCTTTGCACCTGCAAACTTCAGAGTTCTCTGCGCAGGGGTTATCCAGGACTTTTGCGACCACCGTTGAGGCTGCCTCAAGAGAGGGAATGGATCTTGTGCTTTGCGAATGCCAAGATGCTTCAAACCATGAGGCTGAACGGGGCGAGATATTATGGTACACTAATGTCCCATTGCTTAACAGTTCAGTGCGACGGGGGGTACGTGCTTGGCTCGGACGGAGTGTGCCTGTCAACAGGGTCGCCCAACGATGGTTCGAATTTATCGAATCAAGCCAACCTGCCCCAGATACCACGCTTATATGAAAGTTACTAGCGTCACTGGGTCAATCAATGGATTGAAGTAGTGTTCTGTTATGGAATTATGTACTATCATCGTTCTGCCAGTGTAAAACCGCAACCAACCGGGTATCCTAGAGCCGACCATATAACTCCTAAAAAACAAACAACATGACTCCATGACTCATATGCATTTTTCCATTTCGGTAATGTAGAGCTTGATATGTGATTCCAGCCTCAAATATTCATCATGGGCACTTTGAATTTCGTTTTCGATGTTTTCCTTGAGGTCCACCATCTGATGCGAGTTAGCCATCGGAACAACCACGAAGGGCAGATATCATACCTTTTTCTCGGTTTGTTCAATTCTAATCCTCCTTCTCTCCATATCACGCTGCTTTTCCGCGCGCTCTTCACGAAGCTGTTTCTGGACATCCCGGAGTTCCTCCATGCGGGCCTGCGCTGCCTCTGCCTTCTCTTGCGCATTCTTTCGAAGAGTTTCAATCCTTTCATTCCATCTTGCCAACTGTCGTTGCAGCAACTTTTCAGTTTGTTCCACTTCTCTGACGCTGTTGCCTCTTTCTGAGATCGCTTCCTTGTTCCGAGATGCTCGTGATTCCTCCTCCTCCTCCTTTTGCAACTCCGCAGAAATGTCTTCAAGAAGCCTAACGCAAGCCTGGACATCATTGCTGACGACCGTGAACGTATCTGATGAAGTTTGAAGTGCTCTCGCCCTTTTCTCCATCGCATCGATTTGAGCTTTCTCACGTAGTAAATTCTCCGACAGCTCGGTCAGAGTGGCCTGAAGACTGACCGGACTTTCCATAGCATATGGGCGGAGCTTCTCAACCTCTTGTCGGGTACGCACGACTTTCTCCGTCTTCTCCTCTAGCTGCGTTTGCCGTCTGGCTTTATCTGCCTTGACTCGTTCCAATGTCTCGGCAACCCGCTCCTGGTTTCGTCTCAACTCGAGTAGTCGCGCTTTTAATTCATCGTTTCTCCTAACTTTCTCTTTTACTTGTGATTCGTTGGCCCGTAGATTCCGGCGCATCTCTTCCAGGCGTTGCTCCATCTCCTGGTTCTCTGCATATAAGGTATCAATCCGGGCCTTGGTCTTCTCCGACTTGTTGAAATGCTCATCAATGACGGGCGTTTGAGACTCGCGAAATCGAACAAAGTTGATAAGATAAGAGAATATTTTGACCAAGCGATCGTGCGTAGGCTTTGTTAGGTCCGTAAACGTAAAATCATTGACTCCGCACTATATTGTGAGACGAGTTAGCTGCGCTCACTGGATATGTACACAATGACAATCCTGGCAAAGGGTTCACCCACCTCCATCATAAGCTTTCTTAGGCTGACGAAGAACCCCATGAGGTTCCGTGTATCGGCAGGAACAATATCGGGAAAGTCGCCGCCAACATCATCTGCCGCTGCGCGCATCGCAGGCTCCACTGCTTCATGGGTGATGTTCATGAGGAGTTCAGCGAACCATTCGAATACCATCTGGATTTGTTGGGGGTTCGGCTTGATAAGGTCTGCAGAAGTGAAAGGTATACCGATATCATTAATACATCCTGCAATCTCCTTATCGGGCTATTGTCACTGTTAGAGGATCATTACATTAATGGGCAGATGGCTGCTTAAGCTAAGCAATATACTGACCAGGCGCATTAATGCATCGTTCTCGTCTTCCTTCTTGCGACCTCTGCCGTGTTGCTGCTGGGAGCCACGAAATTGCTGACTCATTCGATGATTATATGCCATCTTATCAGACAGACTTCACTCTGTACTGAAGTATGACAGAAACGATACGAGACGGAAAATAATCGTGGTAGTGAGTTGACAATCTGCTGTGTATATGTTATGATGATTGTTTACCGCCAAGGGCCTCGCAGGGCAACCGAACAGGACTAGCGCGACTTGAGAGGGGCACCGATACAAACAGCACAAACACTACCCACGTCTCTTTCAAGGTTTCGATGACTCTTCGCCATATTGAGTTCTATTGCTTTTGAAGACAATCAAATCACCAAGTGTTCTCCAAGCAGTCATTATGGCGTCCACTACTCCGGCACCATCAGAAGCTGCAAAGCCCTTCGAGTGAGTTTCATACACTGCTAAATCTCGAGTCTTGCAATAGACTAATCTATCACCAGTATTGTCGCAACTTACAATGAGCTGCTTCACTCAGATCCGGACTTGACAATGCCAATTGCTGCCATCGAAGCTTTGGTATTACTTCTCACACACTCTCCTTCGTCGACGATATCAGAAACCCTCGATTTACTCGAAAAGTCTACTGCCCACCTGAAAAAATCAATCCCTAACCCCATTGGTCTCTCGGCTGGAACCGATCTCTTCCAACGGTATCTGATTACTACGCTACAGCGACCAGGTCAGCTAGGGCCCGCTGGAGATTTCAACGCTATCAGAGCCCATCTTCTCTCGAACGGTCGGTTGTTCATCAGACGTGCAAAGGAAAGCCGAGACAAGATTGCTGCGTTTGGAAGGGGATTTGTTCGGGATGGCAGTACAGTATTGACGAACGGTGGATCCCGAGTCGTCGCTTCATTATTGCAGAAGGCCGCTGATGAGAAGGGTGGGCCTTCTGCGGTACGTTTCCGTGTCATTTATGTCCTTTCTCCCGCTAAGGACTCTTCCGCGGAGCCTGAGGGTATGGAAACAGTGCGCGCGCTGCGCGCAAAGGGTGTCCCGGTTGCTACGATTCCAGAATCAGCTGTTGCATACTCACTCGGCAAGGCGGATATTGTCATCGTGGGTGCGGAAGGTGTGGTGGAAAATGGAGGCATTGTGTCTCGTATGGGAACCTACCAGATCGGCCTTCTCGCCAAGGCTATGGCAAAGCCTTTCTACGCTGTGGCGGAAAGCCACAAATTTGTCCGACTGTATCCACTTGGGCAATATGATTTACCCATTGAACAACGAGTGATTGACTTCAACACCGAAGAAGATATCACTGATGGACACAAGCCACAGTCGGTAGCTCATAGTTCGGATGTGGTGGACTTCACACCGCCCCATCTCATATCCGCCTTGATCACGGACAGTGGCGTCCTAACACCAAGTGCTGTTAGTGAAGAGTTGATTAAGATCTGGTTCTAAAAGCTTTAGGAACTATGAAGTATAAATGTCGCCAAGTTGGTGTGCAGGTTCGCCGTTTGAGCTTAATGATGTACCCTGTTTCACGGCAAGGCACAGTGTATTTCATCGGAGCCGAGGAAGTCCAGCTGGAAAGGACCAACTCTGAGCTATCACCCAGTGGATTGGTTCCGACTGACTCGGTGTGCAGCACATCGACTACATGTGTGGCTGTTCAATAGTATTTGGCTTACCGGCAAGGCGCGGAAAACAGGCTCCCACATCTCCTTCGTCACGCGACTGGGCACATGTGATCTGTCTTATTTCACGGATGTTCTCCGAGTATTGGAATGAATAAGTCGGAAAATGGATGTACTCCGTACGGACGACGAGTCGGGTCTTCTAGGCGCTGGTGGAAGAGACTATTTACCATGTGGAGGCATGGCTTTGATACGACCCACAAAAAAGAGTAACATCATGACTTGAATAGACAATAATGAACTTGAGAGATAATGGATTCCATTTCAAAGATGATCCACACCCACCCATTCCAACCTTTTCCAGTTCCCATAGCGCCGTATACCCAACCCCGCCGAATCATTAGGGGTTGCCTTCAGAAGCGTAAAACGGAATCCCAAATCATCACACATCTCAGCGTTACATATCGTGTCCCATCCGGATATATCATATCTCATATTCGAGCCCCCCCCCCCTAAATCCACCCATACATCACAAGACGACCATGTCCTGTGAGAACGGTCTCAGCATCACCAACACCTTATAGACCGATGGTCGCACATATCTCAACCCATCCGTTTGATACGAACCGCCTTGTATCCGATCAATGTTGTGATAGCCAGGGGTCCATCCCGAATAAATATAATCGGACTTCGGCTGGGCTCGAATCTTGACTGCAAGAGAGCAGAGCGAGTGACTGATACCGACAACCCCGTGCCGATATCTAAAACTTGCATTATTTCAGATATGGTGTCAAAACGAGGGACGTTTTAAGGGGCGGGGCCCCCCAAAGTAGACATAGTAGTTCGATCGAGGACTCATCATTCTTGCCTCCCGTTTCCCCTCCATGTCCATTTCATCCGCTTGCTTGATCGACATCTCCACCGTGTTGGGCTCAGTTTGTGATGCGCTTCAGGTACAGGTCCTGTGCATCGAATATCTGCAGAGAGGCAAATGCGTAGAGAAGTAGATAGCCAAAGGCCACAAATAGCCATAGAAACGCCATGGCCTTTTGTACTGTGTTTTAATAGAACATAGGACGATTCTAGGTCCAGCAATTACTACTAGCTTCTACGGGAGGGATCCGGATCTTTAAGTGAGGTGTGTGTGTGATCTGGAGGGGAAACCGATTATTGGCATGTGTTCGGGTTTTAGTCAACCAGTGTCCCTGTTCAGGCAGTCAGGGCAGCCATTCTCTGGTCGACGTTGTCGCGGATCCCTGCAACGACCGGAGGGAGAGAGAATGAGAAAGCGGGGTTCGTTTTTTCTTTCTGAACTACAGAGTACAAGTAGTACTTCTCTTCGGGACAAGCATGAAGTAGTGGTTTTGTTGGGCCAATAGGGTTGCTAAGTGGCATTTTATTGAACTCAGATCCATGCAGCCCGGTGACTTAGGAGTGATGAAGTGGCGATGTATCAACTGGATTTTCCGATCTACAAGAGTATATTTTAGTGATACGTACCTGTGATCGGCTGATTCTGCAGTCATAGACTAGTACTCCGTAGATGGGATTGGATTATGGTCGTTACATGTTTATAACGTCAGTTTAATATTAACCCAGCAGGATTTGTCTAATGCTCCCTTTTTTATTATTTTGAATTCGGTTGTTCGGTTGACTCGACTCTAACCTAAAATCGAACGAATCGGCCTCGATATTCGGCGGTGTGATGTCGAGAATGCGGTGAGACAAAGGAAACTCCCTCTCTATGGAGCCCAGTACTACTACTAGTCCGTGCATGGAACCCCTACAAAGCGGAAAAAGTTCCAGCAGGAACTCCAGTTCCCATTATGTCACGGCTATGCAACCCAATGTGCCTCTGGTTGGGCGATAGGGCCAAGAGACTCCTGGGGACACAGAATTTCTGCTCATTCTTCTCTCGTCATCCGAGGGGACCCGGGGATTTCATTCTAGGGACGTCAATAATTGACCAGGTTGCATATGATTTATAAAGGCGAAGGATAATCTTAGTCATGCCAATCACGACCCTGCAATTTCCGCTCTGACAGCGACAGCCGTTGGCAAAGTTAATCGGTAACTTTTTTTGCATGAGATGGACGGTCTTAATTCTAGAAGTTATTATTGTCTAGATGGTCAAAGCCCGGTCTTTACTCCAGAGTTAGGCTTCAGTTAATGAGTCTTTCCTGTGGGGAAAACACGTGCCTTCCAGAGGAAACTTTGCTAGAGCCCATAGCTGGACGGGTGATTGGACGGTCCCTACTTTGACTCCACTGCCCCTCCGACGGTCCCGAGGTTTCTGTGCCGCTGGCGGGCCCATGGTCGGGTGTTCTGTTTTATTGGTACTCCGTACGCATTCCAGTCTTACAGAATTCGGTACAATGTCGGGTTGTTGGGGAGGAAAAATTACCCTTAGCAAAAGGCGTTAGGTACAGACGACTGACTGCCAACACTTCCCATTATACATCCATTTTGACTGTCTGTCCAGTTACTTTGCATTAACTCGGGCCGCTATCTCATATTATGATCCATCAATCATAAGAAATCCGTGCAATCAGCAACCCCGCCTTATCCACGCCCGTATCTATCGATTACTGCCAGGTGCAATCCTTCCTACAACCCCGGTCCGCAACCAAACCCACAGCGTATAGACTAAGCCCTGTTTTACTTCGAGAAAAAACACATCTCCCACTTAGTGGCTTGCCAAATATAAACTCTATCATTTACGGGAAAAAGGATAGTGACCTCGAGGATCTCTCATGGGATAATGGGCGCAGAATCACTGGCACCCGCAGAGCAAAACAACTACTATCCCCAAACCCCCAGGGAGCAGGGATCACAGTCACGCCATGCCCCCGAAAGCGACAAACCCCGTGATTCCTGGTCACTGAAAGGATTTCTGAGTCGCCACGTGAGCCGTCGGTATCGCGTTCTGGAACGGGAGCCGAATAGACTCCGAAAGCGATTTACCAATTAAACGGTGCATGATAAAATTGTATCCATCGCTGGTCGCTTTTTTCCCCTATTCTGGCACCATCTATTGTTCTTGGATAGTGGGGGGGAATGTACCCGCCCGGAGTACATAGTAGTAGAGGGGAAGAAAGATAGACGGCGTTCGTGTATGTGTGTCTCAGACAAAGGATGAATTCGAGCCGTCCATTCAAAACCTGGCCATATGCGGATATATCGGGCTTGCCAACTGTTTGGATATTCAATGGTGGGATTTAGTGATGGGCCCCGTTTTCGACTCTTATCAACAACTGCCATCTGTCAGTTCCTTTGCCTATGTGAGACCTGCGATGGGTCTGTTGAAACATCGATTGGAGGGGAACAGTGTAGTAGTCGGCTGTTATCGGTTTCACCAAGCCGTTGGGCTGAATGCCAGCTATAGCTTGGCATCTGTATAGCAGGCATCCCGGCCGTCCATGGTTTAGCGCGGCATTGGACGGGCGATAGCGAGGTTTCCCATCGGAGCTAAGCAGATTTCGAATCGATAGCATTTTGAGGGCGCTCGGGGTCTTGGAGCCATACTGGAACCGGGGTACGACATGTACGATAGCGAACAATGAACAGAAATGGTAAAAGAGCCAAGAGACTATTCCAGAAGGAGGGGGCGTAGAACAAAGGAGGGCCGAATATAAAAGAAGACAGTAACGAGAGATTGAAAAAAGGTTGTGCTCGGCAAAGAGAAGCGTTCCAAACTAGTCAAACAGCTCATTGGAGGTACTTTGGTTCTTATATAGACCAACTGCCAACACAGTATCAACGTGGTTCCCTACAACACTGGCAAGTAAACTTTCAAGCCTATGTATGAGGGTTTAGCGCCACGGCGACTGCATGCTGGCAGAACTAACATCAGAAACCTTTCAAATAGAACCCGATTGTTCTGATCTTTTCGGCGTTAGGTGTCAAGGTGAAATACTGACACCTGCACCGTTGGATGGTATTGTGACAACGGCAGAAGGTATTGATCAATACATTCTTAGCTTCCCCGGTATATAGTTTGTGACGGGTAAAGTTATCATCCTGCATGCAGGGTGACACAAAAGGTAAAAAATTGCTCTCTAACCTGGCCATTTTGGGATCCTCTTGCTCCAACTACCCGTAGCTTAGCCGTATGGGGATTCATCGAGAATAGGGTAAGTATCTGTGCCAAGGACAGTGGGCTTAGTTCGAGAATTCCAGATGCTTTAAGAGTCACTTTGGGTAAGTGGAGTCTAGAAGCCAGATGCCTGAACAAGGTTGTTGTCTTTGTACTGTTACTTACAGTAATGAAAGTGTCTGAACCCACAACCCATGACCACGATGAAGACGTAATTACACCGCCAATCAACAATGCCGAGCACGAGATCGTAATCTATCTCAATCTTGACTTGATCTATGTAGGGCTTCGGATTACTTCCAGTCCTATGAGTTACGATGACCTGCATTGGAGGTCAACCTCAGATTTACGCAATTAGAGAGAGGTTGCTCGCCACAAGTCCTGCTTTGATAGATCATAGCACCGGTATCATGGAACTTTGGTAGATGTCTGAGGATGGTTTCCCTGCAATTTCCCTTACTCGTATACAGAAGCCAATTGATTGTTGAGTATTGGCGTCCATGCAAGGCTAAAGTCGTGGCTTGCTCGTTAACTAGTGAGATATTAAGTCTGCTTTAGTCAGCTGGAATGTCTTGGTCTCGGTTCCCCTGCTAGATTGAGATCTGGCCGAGTCTTTAATTAATGAGATGCAGGAACAAATGATCCACTGATTTTCGGGGAGATGGTCGATTCACAAGTGTACTCCAGCTTTATCGACAGGTAAGACGGCTAGTATTGCTTGAGGAAGC